CCTCAGTCATACCTCTCCTTCCATTTCTAAACAATCTCTCTCTTGTGTCCATTTTTCAACCCTTTCTCAGCTCCCTTGGTCCAAACTTGATTTCTTTCACCCCTTTATCTTCCCTTTCTGCCATCACTTCAGACCACGGCGCCACTGAATGCTCACAAAATGATGTGGAAGACTGATATATATCTGGCTTCCTGCAAAAAGATAAACTTCTCGAGGAGTTGGTCACATAAAATAAGATTTGTACTGTAAACTTTTAGCCGAAATGTAACATGCAGAACAATAATAATACTGCAAGAAACAGGTGTATTTTGTAGGTTGCAACAAAATGCATCTTACATCATTCTTGGTATAGAAAGGTTATGCAGCCTTTTCCTATTTAGTAAAGCCCCATTCACTTTAACAATGGTCATTACTGTTTCAGGTAAGTTTAATCTCTGCTTCAAATGGTTCGCAAAGTGTGGCTTGCAGCAGTTTGCAGTGACACAGCACATAACTTAGGCCACCACAGCATATTGGCTGGTCTAAAGCCACCGTAGAGGCACGGTATGATGAATTATTGGCAAACAGAGGATATTGAGGCTTTATCCACTGCGCTTTACAGCTCTGACTTGGCTTAGCAAGCTAAACAATCCATTTAACACCGCAGGGCCGACCCTGCCCAACAGCACCTGCTTGGAAGTCGAATTTAGGCACTCCATGACTGATGACACCGGCTAATGCTCATAACACACACAGTTGCCTCGCTGTGTAAAGGACAATGCAGCCCGTGTTTGAGTTTAATGAATGTATTTAGCAGGGGTGTGAAAATATCTATAAAGTTCAGTACCGCAATGTGTTACTGTTTTGTGATACTGTATCAATTCAATTTTGTTTATTGAGTATTACATGCAACATTTGGCCAGACAGATTGCACAATAAGTAGTGTTATGACGTTGGATGTTACAGGGACGGTGAGAAATGCAAATGCAGATCCCACAACTCTGAAAGCATAACAACCAGAACACTTCTTTTACTCAGATATTATCCATATGTCAGCTGTTAAAACAGTTTCCCTAAATGTCATCCAAGACATTTTTCTTTACTTATATTATCTAAATATGTTGAATTATAACCCCGGTATCATAACCTTGTGATGTTCACACACAGGAGCCACACACACTCCACTCTGTTATTGTTTCTCATGTATATGAAATGTGGAGCAAAGCTTGACGTTTTCCATTATTCACTAGCAATACAGTACAATGCAAAATATGTGTAAAGCACAGCCTGCCACTGTCCTTGAAAAGAGTGAACAGAAAAGAGAGTAGAAGGATGGATAATAACGGATATGTGATATGCTTTACTGTTGCTTTACCTTGTTCGGGGTGAAGACGTCCCCAGCTCAAGTTGCTCTGCAGCTGCGACACATTGTTTCTGCATCGTTTGGGTAAACTCCATCCAGGGAGAGGATCACTGGTCTCTTCTGCAAGGTACAAGCATATCAACTTGGGTCATTGCTACGTTTTCTCATGCTCAGTCTGAACTACTTTCACACAGATGCTTATATCAAATCAAATCAAATCAGGTTTTATTTATAAAGCACATTTAAAAGCGATTTTTGGTCGAGCCAAAGTGCTGTACATGTAATAAAAACACATTACTACAAAACACAATAAACGACAATAAATTACAACAGATATATCTTAAAAAACAAAATAAAAATAAAACACACGGAAAAGTCAGGAGTCGTGCTCCGCTCTAACTAGAAAGCCAGAGAGAAGAAGTGTGTTTTTAGTTTTGATTTAAAAACCCCTAGGGTCTGGGCCGACCTCACATGGAGGGGCAGAGTGTTCCAGAGCCTAGGGCCAGCTATATTATACCTATACTACAGACACAGCCTCCTTTTTTCAATCCACTTTTAATATCCTGGACACATTTGTTGTAGGTTATTCATAGATGTGCTGCAGTACAGTAGCCCCATGGTCCTTTACACAGGCAATCATGTAACAGATGAGTCAGTGGAGCAACATTAACCCACAACCTTCACCCATCAGTGTCCTTTCAGCTGTGGTCAGCTCTCCAGTTGAATTAGGTTTTCAGAATTGTTCTGATAATGCGTCATCATCACTGAATCCCACTCCCACTCCTCATGGGTGTTCACACATCAGAGTTACAATACCCTGAGAGTGAATGCACCGGAAAAAAAAGGGCTGATCACTGTTTTCTCTACCCCGGCTCTTTTTATTCCGATTGACAGCTCCACAGAGCAATTGGAAAAATGTTTAACCTTGAATAATTATGTTTTGAACTCTCATTGTTACAATCCATTGCTGCCCTGTTTCCTGACTTTTCTTTTTCTCTTTGTCTTTGATTACTATTTCGACATCATTTCCTTCTCTACCGTCTCTTTGACTTATTCATTTGATAATACAACGAGGTGTACTGGCTCAAACACGATGAATCATTATTCTTTGAAGTAAGGATGTGTCTGCAATGATCTGACAGCACTGTTAGCTGGATGCTTCTTTCAGAAAGACCTATATTAACCTTTTGTATCATTTACATAAGTACCTTTAAACCACACCAATGACCACCCAGAGCACTTGTTCAGTTGCTGCCAAGAGAGTTAGTTGGTGTGTGGAGTAGAATTACATTAACCATGTTGTACTTGTAGAAAATATGCTGAGAAGTGTGATGGCTTTATAACCCAGGGTATATCAGTCAGCCTTGAGCATCTCACATCTGGCTTCGTGTTGTCACTTTTTCCAGTGCTTCTCAGTGGTGTCACAAAAGGCTTTTCTGTGCCCTCTGAGTAGTTTTACTCACTTATTTATTATTTCTTATACCTGAGGTGGAGGTAATACATTTTACAGCCTTCTTGGTTCCGTGCTGCCGGATAAAGGTAGCCTGTCTGTGCTGAGTGGGCCAGCTGTCTGCACGCCTCTCTGCTGACCCGGATCTCTGCATGTATGTTTGCATACTGAAGTGTGTGTTTAAAAAAAGCACAGCTCTTGGAGTGTAACTGTGTATATGTAACCTGCTTTCTCTGCCTGTTGTCATTGGCCATGGAGGAAGTTGGAAACCTGTGCCTCTCTGTGCTTTATGCAGCTCAGCCGGCCCCAGCCTCTCCTCCAGCACCGCTCACTTTGTGTGTTCCATCTCTGTTTATGGTTGGGAGGCTTTCTTCCCCCTCGAGTTGTATGAAATAATAGAGATGGAAAATGCCTTGTTTATTTTCTCGAGCAAAAGGATTCCGTCAGGCAGTAAGGCCCTCTCCTTTGTTTCTGGAGCAGAACCGGATCACTGATGTGGTTTCCATTTGTGTCTGATGTTCTTTGGCTAATACTTTCTAATCAGAGTCCATTTGTGTCATGGTAGCTTGTGTGGTTGTCTGCCTCTTTTTATGTGTAATGCATGCACTTAGTGTGTCCGGTTGTGTGCACACATCTGCGACTGTGAGTCTGTATTGTATTCATAGTGTGTGGGTGTGTGTGTGTGTGTGACTTGCCACTGCCCCCTCTTTCTCCTGCAGGGCCTCAAACATTTTCTTCATTTGTTGCAGATTTGTGTTTCTTCTTTTTTCCCCCCTTTTTCTTCTCTTTTTTGCACTGGGGAACACAATACAATGTCTGGTTTCATATTATTTTCCAATCACTGAAGGCTGCAGGGCAAGGACTTTTGACAATGGCTGTTTCGTTCCAGCTAATACCAAAGGCAGGGGAGAGAGAATAATAACCCTGGTGGTTGATAATAGCTGCAGTGATCATTCTGCAGTCATTTGCCTCTGGTGCTCTCTCTAGCTGCAGCTGATGTTGTCTTTGTTTTGTTACTACCCGCTTCACAGAGCTACACCGCTATTACAAGCTGTCCGCCACCCTTCGTCTCCTCCATGTCCATCTGAGATATATTCAACACCATCTGGTTGTTTTTACAGAGGGAAAACCCAAAAGTGAGTGATGTAGTTAGAACAAAACAACCAGCGGATATGTACTTTTAAAGTCAAGACTGATCTGTTTTACCGCACGTCGTTGTGAAAGGTCCAGATTCAGAGAAAACTGATTAGACAAGGGCTTAGGGAAATCTCTGGAGAGCTAAGATCCAGGGACATATGTTGTCTTCATCTTAACTCGCCTCTCTCCCCTTCTCGTCTTTTTTTTCTAAAAGAGAGAGGGAGGGAGTCAAACTGAGAAGGAAAAGGAGGGAGGGAGGGGAAAATCATTATTAACTCATAAGCTGGTTAATGCTGTAGCACTCTCAACCTTCAGCTCAAATGAGAATTTCCGTCATTTACATATCAATTTAATTTCCTGTGTTTCCCTCTACTCTCCCCCTCCTTCATTAAAAGCAGCATTTGCTTGCCACTGCAATCAGCCGGTGCAACACATTTTCCTGGGCAGTGAGCACTCACACACACTCTGTGGCACCCTGCTCACACACACACACACACACACACAAAAAAACGTTAATGTTTTCAGACAAGCAAATGCAGAAACACCTTCATAGGCTTTGTGTTATCCTGTCGCATGCACGTACAGAGGTGTGAACACACACACACACACACACACACACACACACACACACACACACACACACACACACACACACACACACACACACACACACACACACACGCAGTTAGTGAGGAAGTGTGTGCCCAGGCAGACAGAGCAGCTCCTTGGCCCGATGTAGGTCTGTCAGGATTAAACCAGTGATCAGAGAAATGAAAGGGAAGCTGTCATTCCACATAGCCCTCTATACACATCATCCTCAATAATTACACCCTCTTCTTCCTCTCGCCTCACTTCCTCCTCTCTTATAACCTCCTACCTGTGTGTGTGCGTGTGTGTGTGTGTGTGCCGCAGACAGCATGCCTGACTGGCACCCAGCACATCAAATAGGGGCTTTTATGAAATGTGCGCCTGCTTGAATTACACTCACTTTAAACCTTCATTGTGTGTCTGTGTGTGTTATTCACGTCTTAATGTGTGTGTGTGTGTGTGTGTGTGTGTGCCTATGTGAGCATGACTGTGCGAGTGTCAGCTTTTGAATCGATACAGATGTGCCCGGCCCTGCGCTGCTCACATCTGGCGGTTAGATTGAACCTGCAGGGGATATATGCAGCTAACTACTTCAATCTGGGGCTTTAAGCTTATGAATGCGATCAAATATTCAGTTCACGCAAAGTGTTACACGGCAAGGCCTCTAGTGTAAAGTAAGTTTAAGGTCTGTCAATTGAAGTCCGTTCCATATGTGACCTTTGGTGGGAGAGTCAAGAGGTACCAGATCCAAGCTGTCATAGAATGATCCCTTTCATTCTTTTATGACTTTTATTTATGGCATTTCCATTTTCACTTAAATGTGAGAGAATTCACAGAATTTTTTTACATTATAAATGTAATCTTTTTATTATTTTTACGTTTGTTTTGTATTTCTGTCAACTCTTTTACTTGTAAATATTATTTCATTTTATCTAATTGCTTCTGTCATATATTTGAATGGCGTACTGGTGCCTTTTACGCATGTAAAGGCTAAAATAAAATATTTGTATTAGTATTTATGTTTATTTTAGTTTTTGGTTGACATGTGTTTGTGAATTCTCTTCTGAGCTTTCAATTGAACTATAATCTCAGTTTGAAAATGATCAATAGCATTAACCTGGTGCAGACCCTTTTGTGTTTTATTGAAAAGCAGATAATGATTCATTTGCAATGAACCAGCAATATGTTGAAAGGGAAAATAGTTATTTACATGTGGGTACCATACATGAAAATTAACTTTAACATTCAAGTCAAATTGTGACAGTGACATATCAGATTTAACAAAACCATCAAACACAAAGTTGAACACAAACTGAAAATGTATGTTGTATTCATTTTGGTTTGCCTTTCACATGTAGTTGTATGTGTATGTTTTAGTCATTTTAGCCAACCTTGAGAAGTAAGTTGAGTGTCACAGTGGACCCAGAATGCACTCTGAGACAGTCCACTCCAGCCAGTGTAATACTTTTCTGCAGCTGAGCTTTATAAAACCAGAACGTGTGCTCTGGAGCGGGTAATGAAGAAGCTAATACCTCGGTTTTGCTTGCTGTTTGTGCTCTTTTTGCAGCTAATGACTTTGTACTGTAAGACTCCTTCGTATCCAGGGTTTTGTATAACAGTGACTTGTTATTATAGCTCAGCACTTGAGCGTGTAATAAATGTAAATCTCAGTGTCTATAACTTGCTCCCCCGAAGCTCATTATTTGTGACAAGTGTGTGAGACAGTGTTTGTTTTGTGCTGTGTTGCAGATGAGTAATGAGATCATCCGCCTGTGCTTCCAAAGCATCTCTCTGGACAGGATCTTAAAGGGCTGTGTGATACCCAGCCAGCAAAATCTCACCGTGTATCCAGTTCTGTTCCACCTGGAAGGACATTTACCTGCATGCCTCGCAGATTTACCTCAAGTAAGAACAGTATCACTCATGTATTGACTCCACACACTGATACAAGTCTTTGAAATGTTCATTACAAAAAAATGTAAATCCATGTAGAGCTTTGCATTAATATTAGGTCAAACACGTCTTCATTTTCACTGTGTTGTGTATCTTTCTTTCGTTTCATGTCTTTTTCACACAACTGTAAAATGACAAAGATAATTGAAGAAGAATTTGGAGGAAAGACAAAAAAAACGTTCCAGAGGTGTGGTGAATCAATTGGACGGCCTGTGCTGTGTATACATTTAAAAGATTTCTAAGGAATGCCTGAGAGGAAATGTTTTTAAGATATGGCGCAAGCTACACTTCATGGTCACTCTCACCTCACAAAACTTTGTTTGCCATAACTTAATAACATCTAAAAGGATTAAAACATTTTTGGACGGACATGAATGCAATCCTGAGTGCCAAATAGACAATAAGTCCATCAATTATTTATACAATGGTATCACTGGAGGTGTGTTCTGTTCTCCTGCAATGGTGCATAAACCTTATTCCCTAACAGAAGGGCAAACTATATCATCCAGAATTTGATAATAGCCAATAGGGGTCAAAGTTGAATTTTAAATATTTAAGTCCCAACCAGCACAATATTTCTGTATGTTTAGTTCAACATGCAGTCAAGTCTAAGCTCAGTTCAGAGGGGCTTAATACCAGACATAGAACCTTTTATATGCTGTTATTTATCATTTGAATACTTTCCTTAATTATTCTTTAAAACATTTATTCAGCTTTGTGTGTGTGTGTTCTCTCTAAAAGTCTTGAATCAATCACATCGTTCCTGAGATCAGTTTCAGTACACAGGCTTCCACAGGGAGTGAGCTACTGAGTCGGATTAGGCAGCTTCAACTCCTTCTCTAGAACTCATTTTAATTCAATTTACTACATCAGACAAAGTCCTTATTGGAGGATAGAAGCCTTTCCTCCCTGTAGAAGACACAAGACAAAGTGTTAAGTGGGTGTTTAGATTAGGAGCCACATTTACAGCAGATACAAGTAGTTATTATCACATCAGCTAAGGGCAGAGCTTTGAGTTAGGGGCTAGGACACGCTTACCAACAGGTTCTATTACTCCTTAATAAATGGGTCTTTAATCTGCATTTACATATGCCTTACAATAACTACTGACTGTTCTCATCACCAGTACGGAATACAAAAGTAGTTGTGATTACTCTTGTCTTGTTGTTACATTCATCACCTCTGTGGAAAATGTGACCGTGGCAGATATCACCGCACTACCTCTGCTACTGATGCTATTGATAATAAAGACTCGTTCTTCTTACTAAATGATAGTATAATAGGGCAGTTGTGTTAAATGACAAAAGATGTTAGTGCCTGCTTACTTCAAAGTGATACCCAGAGCGCTGCGCTGACAGCACATCACTGCAAACATCTGCTTTTCCTGTCAGCCAGTTACCTCCCCCCCCCCCCCACTGTCTTTGCATGCATTTCATACTCCGGCTATTCTAGTAATGAAGACCATAAAGTACACTCACATTCCACAATTCAGATAAGGCTTGGGTTATATGACAAAATTGGTTGGACATTATAATGGTCCTCACATGTTTATGTTTAAAGAACGATATTGGATAATGCTTGTTGTGATGTAACGCTTATTATTTGTTTCCTCTAAGCTTCACCCAGAGTTACCAACACTTTGTTAGTTGGGCAGCCTTGGTTTATTAAAGACAAAACAAGTTAACATTTTTAAATGGAGTCAGTGGGAGGGGACACGCATGAAACTGCGCCTTAAGTTATTTGTTTCCTTTAGTTGTCAGTTAATCATTGGGTCAGTGGTTTTCTGAACCACAGATTTTCACTTCATTACTATGATTGCCCTAAGAGAGAGAGAGTGAAGGGCTCCCAGTGTTTTCACTGGCTGGCACACACACACACACAGACACACACACACATTCTGGGCTCTCCGATACCCCTTCGGGCCTCTCGCTGTCTGCACGGGCAATCGACCTCGTCCAACCAATTAAAGACGGCGCTTAGTTCCTGATCGATGGCTGGGGTCGTGGTGGGGCAGGATGAGCACAGCAGGAGACGGGGGGGGGGATCAAGAAGATCCACGTCATGGCCCAGTAGAAGTTTTTATTTGGTCTTCCTATCTGAGGCTCCTCGTCCGATCACTCTTAAAGTGCAAATTGCTCTCCTGGGATTAGATTTAAATAAGAAGTCATTGCTGCATTGCTTTCTCTAACAAACCACCGTGTTTGATAAAGATCCTGCAGTTTGAAATTAATCCACTAACTCTAATACTTATGCTAAGGTGCTTTCTTTCCAGTGGTTCAACTTGCAATACTGCTGATCATAGTGATGTCTAAGTTATGTCTTTACAGAGTTTTTGAGTCAAGTTGCATCAGTGACTAAATATGACCCGAAGTTGTATCTTCACTTTGTTCTTGCATGATGCAGAGGGATGTAGAGTGGATCATCCTTTTTCTATCACTGTCTTCAGTTCAGTTTGTCTGACTGATACGGCTTGTAATGACGTGTGGTGCGGGACAGATACATACGTTTGAAATATGGAGACGAGTCATAACTTTCCAAAACCTTCAGAACCAAAATGATTTCCCTCAGCATCAGTTTTCTTTATTTATGGGATTTCCATGAGTCCGTGAACTCCTGGTGAAAGATAGCAATACTTTAAAAACAGAAATGAATGCTGCTATCTCCAGTCAGGCCTTCCTTCATCAGCAGCAGCCGGTGAAGGAGGGAGGGTGTCAAGCAAAGAGACGCCGATCTGTTTCTCTCCCTTCAGATATAACACCAGTGATTCTGTCACCCACACAGCCAATATCACAGTCAGTCCGCACACCGGGTTCAGTGGCGGGGCATGGAGGGAAACAGGCGGGAGGGACGGCAAATGAGGAAGAAGAAGGGACAAGTCAACAAGGCTACAAATGTGCGACTGCTTCGGAGCAATAGGTCGCATGCCATGTGCTTACAACGCCTCTACTCCTAGCTCTCCGGTCTTTGTACTATACAGAAAATGCTTGCAAAGTAAATAAAAAGAGACAAGTAGTTCAAACCAATTTGCCAGAAGAGAAGGGAAATAAGCTATGAAATGAAAGAGGAAGGTTGTGTGGAATAGATGAGAGGAGTTGGTGGCCCATAGAAGAGGGCATGAAAGGGATGCAGAGTGAATAAGCAAAAAAAGGACTTTAACATCACAACACACCTCAGCGGCTCTGACACAGCCCAACCCGTACATATTTGCTGCTGTGAAAAGCACGATCCGGGGAAATTGGTGAAGTGCTGTGAGATGCAATGTCAACACAACAATACTGACAGCTTGGAAACCCATTTATTAGTCCCCCAAGGATCCCACCATCTCTGAATTTGTCACAGAATTAGTTATCAGCCGGGGAATGCAACCTCCTCTGTGGCAAATGGAATACGCTTCAGAATGAAGTCATAAATTGAAAGTCGACTGGCAAATTGTCACCAGCACCACGGCAGCCAGACTGGAGCATTTGCGTCTTTCTCACCTTTCCTGCTCTTAAAGCACATTCTTTTTCACATGTTTTTGTGGCCATAAATTGGTCACTCCCACACAGTATTAAGTGAAATAATGTGATTTTTGGACACTTTAAAACTGGAGAATAGGCTGTAATTGCAGTTTAATCAATATTTTTGAATATTTCTATAAATGCTGATTTAAAAAAGAAATTGACATTTAAACTCACTTAAATCTGTTTTCATTTAACTAAATGAAATAAAATGTTTTATATACAGCCCAAAATCACAAAACACAGTTTGTACATATCAAAAAACTACAAATTACAACATTGACTATCCGATGAGGTAATGTGAATGTAATATACAAATGAAATAAAATACAAAAACATATACAGGTCCCAGGAGGGTGTTCATCCTTATTAAAAAATAGAGGTCTTAACCCTACTCTTAAATGTGGAGATGGTGTCTCTTTGTAGGCTACAAAGCTGTTAGGAAATCTTACTGTGTAATTATATTTAATGACTTTTGTGGAAATGGGCACTAATGAATGTATTTCCTTTTTCTTTTTGAACCATCAGGACGATGGAGAGATGTGGACCGTGAGGATGAGTCAGAGACAACAGCTTTAGGTCTCATGATCACACAACACCTCTCCTAATAAGGTAATCATCCAGATGCTGAGCCCCTCTTCATGGCTCACACAAGTTGTGCCCATCTTCTCACTCTGCCTCACTTCTGTCTCTACTTTCCTTTAGTTTTATTCGCCTTCACCACCTCTCCTTCTCTCCTTCACCTTCCTCCTCGCACCCTCCCGTCCTCCGCCTCTCACTCAACAGCCAATTTAACGACTCAAGGAGACACAGGAGTGCAAAACACATTCGCAGATCGATCAAAGCTGAGACTTTGCCATGAAAACAGCCATGAATCACAGTTACCTTCCCTTGCTCTTGTCAAACCTCTCCTCTACTGTTGGAACATATATGTTTATATTAGGCTATACAGTATGGGCTTGAAGCCACGCACTGAACAGTTTATTTAGTTTATTTAACCCTCAGGGGTGTCAGTTGATATTGTGTGTGTGCGGGCATGTGTGTGTGTGTGTGTGTGTGCGTGCGATACTACATCTATCTTGTATGTGAATGTAAGGGTTGTATAAGCATGGCGTGGTGACACATGATGAATGTGAGGTTGGCCGCAGTCTGCCCCCCCCCCTCCTCTTTGTCCTCAGGGTGGCCTTATTGTTTCTTTCTCTCCCTCTCCTCCGCTTTGTTGTTCCTTTCATCACCCCCCTCTCACTGTCCTCTCTTCTCCTTCGCTTCCACACTGCAGCGATTGAGTTTTTCTCTGCATTTGCATCAATGCAAAACACTCACACACACACACACACACACACACACACACACACACACACACACACACACACACACACACACACACACACACACACACACACACACACACACACACACACACACACACACACACACACACACACACGCACA